TGTAACTCCGAATTGTAGAGGACAGCCTTCCTAGCCGCGCAACTGATGCGGCACTGCATGGTGCCCGAGCAGGATTCCCCTAGGACCGGGACGGCAAACTCCACGTTGTGCAGCTTAAAGCGCGACGTGAAGCGATGGTTTGGGTCAGCTCCTCCAGGACATTTTCTTCGCCCCAGCCCCCGAAACTGGCGGTCGGGTTGTTCGGTGAGGTGGCGGGTTTCCGCAGGGGGCTCTGGGCTCGCGGCGTCGCTCCAACAGCGTCTTCAGGGCGGCATGCTTGGGAATTTTATCAGCCTGCAACAACGCGGGGTGGGGAATCGGCAAGTCAGCTCAGGGCCCCTAAGTCTTAACCGCTAAACCCCGAATGTTAAACCCTTAAGCCTGAATAAAGGCATGGATCGGTGAACGGTGGCCTGGAAGAGCGCGAGGAGGCTCTCATTCAGGTTGCTGACTGAAGGGGATGCCTTCATGTAGGCCGTCTCATGGATGGCTCAGGTGCGCCCGGTGTTCACCGGTCGTCTTGCGCTTGAAGGTGCATAGATTGCAAAGTAGCAGGGATATCAGTACCGCAGATAAGGTCACAAGCAAGTATGAACCCCAAACCCTGCACAGACCCTAAACCCTAAACCCTTTTTCTGGCTACCCATGAACCTAAACCCTAAACCCTAAACCCTCCAAGTGCGAAAAGGTAGGAGGCGCCTCTACCATGCACGGATCCAATGGCACCTCCTGCAACGTCATTCGCGCTTACCCATTTTGTTTTTTGTTTGAGGGGGGGGGGGGGGGTGTCCCAGAATAGCGGCAACCTGACTGGGGAGTTCCTATCATAAGGATTAGAGCATTTTGGGGCATATTTCGGGAAATGCCCACTTAGGGTTTAGGGTTCAGGGTTCAGGGTTTAGGTCTTGGGGCTTAGGGGCTTTTTGCGCGACTCTGTTGGAACGGTCCTTGGCAGCAACGCTGTTATCCTCCTGGCACTTCGATGCCCATCACTACACAAGGAAACCCCTCAATGCAAAACGGATTGGCCTCGTCATCTGGGTAAACGTCATCCACCAGTGGGCATTCCTCACGGGGAGCACGGCTGCGTGTGCTAGGAATAGGAAAATCCGCTGTCCTGCTCGCTGCAGGCTTTGCCTACTGGCGCGTCATCCGCAACCTGCCGTGAAACTGCTGATCATCTCTTCCTCCCTTGTAGTAAAGGCGAAATTAGGGAGAAGGCTAGGGAAAGGCGATTGCAGCAACCAATCGCGCCCAATAATATCCAGACACCCCGACCCTAACATCAAACACTCCCCAACAAATACGATGATGGGGAAGTTCTTTGTTCTCGAGGGGGAGGTTTTAAGACTAGGTGATTGCATGCTGGTGGAGTTCATATGACCCATAGCACCTTCCCATCCTTGCCGCTGTTCAAAAAATTCTGAGCTCACGGACATAAAGCCACGAAAAGAATCAAGAATATGCCCTGGGCTCTTGGACTCTTTCCGACAGTCACCTCACCTCCGCAGCAGGCGCCGTAGCCGTCGGGGCCACAATCTGTCACGCAGACCGCCGCATCCAGTCAAAAGCAGTACAACAGGAACAGAAAGGCCTTGTATCCGTTCTCGTCATACAAGTGCAGCTCGCAGAAAAGCGGCGGCTTCTGGCAGGTATGAGTCAGCTAGTCCCTAGCGAGATCCTTCCGGCTTTATTAACGGAGAAGCTCCCGCCTCACAATTCGTCTGCACAGCGTATCGCATGGCCTTGCTGTGACTATCGAACGTCGAAGTGCCATCTGGCGATATCCATTTGCCTCGGCTCGGTCGGGCACATGAATCCTTGACCCATGCATCAACTTCTGTCAAGTGTGAAATATTTGCCGGCAATTCACCATACTTCCTGCGCAGCTTCCCCGTTCGATGCTCTTTCCCAAGCAGCCGCCAACCCATTGCAAAGAGACGCGCTTCAAGTTTTGTTGGTGTCTTCTGTGCAAAGTCTGTCTTGACCTCGACCCCTGGGAGGATCTAAACAGTAGAACGCTCAAGCTGTACTTTGTACCCTGCATTACTACTCGGTTCTTACTTAGGAGAGCAACAGGAATCTACTATTCTTTAGATTGTCCCAGGGTCCGGAAAGAAGCGCTAGGGAATACGGTTTGAGATGTGCTTTCCCGGCCATAGGCCGGCCGTTGGCCTCATCGAGCCACACAGCAGCTGCAACTCGGAACAACGCACATCGACACACATGACCTAGGGGTCTAGAAAAACAAGGAGATTGGGGTTCTTTCCATTTGCCTCGGAAAAGCCGACAGGCCAGGCGCATGGAGCAAGCAGAAAAGGATCTGGCCCCCTCCCAGCTCCCAGCGCCCTGCCCAAGCTTCACTTGGCAAACAAAACCAAGCCCGGGAGCACAGACAGGTGTGGCAGTATTGGGAAAGCCGCTGCACCGGCCTTAAACCCTTTCGAGGGCGATGGCAGAGCTGCGAACCAGACTCTCTTGAGAGACAGCTCATGGTGCCTTTGCTCACGGTGCGGGGATTCATTGAGCGAAAGCAAGCACACCTTGATGGGAAAACAAGCGTGTTCGTTGGATGCCTTTCTGCTTCCCTGTGACGGAATACCGCTTCCCGTGCAAGATTACAAATGAAAGTGGTGAACCAAACCAAGTTCGCAAGTTTAAAAAGGCTAGTTCAAGGAAATGGGAGCATGACCGAGTTTTCGGGCATCGCCTCTGGTGACGGTTTCTGGCGAGAACAGCTTTCAAACCTCCTGGAGATGCGGGGAATGACAGGATCACGCAACCAAAAAACCAATTATCTTCTTGTGTGCTCGTATGTGTGCTCCCATAACCCAAGCGCCACAGAAGCTTCACGTGTTCAGCTGCTCAAAGTGTTTCAGGGATGTTGTGCAGTTGAAAAAAGATGCTCCGGAGATGCGTTCGGCCATGTCTAACGCTTTAGGGCCACTTGTCCAAAGGTGTGCTGAATTCTGAAACACCGTTTCAAGAAACGAAGACAGGCTGGGGTCGAATACCCGTCGCGGTTCCGTTGCGAGCGGCCAGACACTTTTGCTTGCCTTTTCCCGGATATTATGCGGGTCCAAAGGCTTTTATGCTAGAATAACCTGTCCTAAGCATCCGGCCGAAAGCTCGTAGTGCTGCTCCCCATTTCTCCAAGCTTGCAGCTTCACGCGGGTCTCGAGTGTCGAGCCCAGCCGGGACCGAAATGGTCGGGCATTAACAGATATGGGGGGGTTCCCAACATAGGGGTACCCTTCTGGGACTCCTATGAAAAGTGGATGAGTGTAATGATTGTAGTTACCCTTTTGGGATTCTTATGAAAAGTGGATGAGTGTCATGAATTGTAGTGCTTGGAGGATGTGTGAAGGGGACCCCTAGTTTGGGAAACCCCCATATTGTGAACAACCTCCTCTTGGAGCCTGTCACATCGCTGTGTCCTCGAAAGATGCAACATGTTCAGGGTTTAGGGTTTCGGGTTTAGGGTTTAGGGTTTGGGGTTTAGGGTTTAGGGTTTGGGGTTTGGGGTTTAGGGTTTGGGTTTAGGGTTAGGGTTTGGGGTTTAGGGTTTAGGCTTAGGGTTTAGGGTTTAGGGTTTAGGGTTTAGGGTTTAGGGTTTAGGGTTTAGGGTTTAGGGTTTAGGGTTTAGTGTGAAACTTGAAGTCATCATGCCAATTCCCAGTCGTGGCAAGCTGTTTCCGTATGAGTATGAACTCCATCATCCCGAGTCCACCCAAGCAAATAAGAGTTTCACCTGACGAGGCATCTACATCCCGAAGGCATCTGGCATCGAGCGACAAATGGGTCGCGAGCGAACATCAGGCCGGGTGGGTAGGGTAGGGCCCCCTAAGTACTTTGTGGTACCCGGCCTCATCTAGTTTGACACTGGTAGCGGAGCCTTAGCGCTCCTGTAGGGCCTTTTGCCATGTCGGCCGATGCTGGAGATGTTCCCACCACGGCCCCGAACGCACACGAACGAGATCGGCCGAGATCTCGCAGTTACTATGCTGCCTGTGGTGAAGATCGGGCAGGAGAGCCCACACCTTCGAACGAAGATGAGGTCGAGCCTCGTAGGCGCAACCTTGGAGGAAATCCTGATGGCGAAGTCCGCGACGACGGGTGCAAGGAAGATGAGTGGCGGTGGGACCGCCAGTCTTGGGGCGCCTGGAAGCCTAGTTCGTGGTGGCACGCCCAGAAGTGGGATGATGACGAATGGGGCGACCACAAATCGTGGAGTCGCCGAGACGATCCCTGGAGCAGGTCCACATCCTGGACCCCAGACCAGAACTCGAACGCTAGCTATGAGGCCACTCGAGCTGGAGGCGCTGGAGACCTCCCTCGGCATCCCAAGGCAGATGGTGGAGAAGGAAGTGGACCTGTACACGATTCTCCGGGGCGGCAATGTGCTTGGGATGGATGGAAACACTTCTCTCGAGCGGGAGAGACAGGGAGTCAGTCTTCAGAGGAAGGCTATTCGGTTCGTCAGAACCCCAGGCCAACCGAAAAGTTGGTCGTCCCTAGCTTCAGCGGTGAAGACGAGGATGTGGGCAACAGCGCTAGGAGTTACCTGAGACAGATCGAGGCCTGGAAGCGTATGACCTTGCTTCCCTCCAAACAGCAGGCCCTGGTGTTGTACCAAAGCCTGAGCGGCAAGGCCTGGGTGGCGGCAGAGGAGCTCGACCTGAACAAGCTGGCACAGGAGACTGGGGTCTCTTACCTGGTCGGCTGGGTTCAGGAGAGGTTCCTCGACCTGGAGGTTACCAGAATCGGCAAGGCCTTCTCCGAGTTCTTCAGGAAGCTTCGTCGCAGGCCTGGCCAAAGCATCAGGGACTACAACAGTGAGTACGACCGTCTCTTTGCTCGGCTTCGTGAAGTGGGTTGCGCGCTTCCTGAAGATTGTGCAGCATGGCTGTATGTAGACAGGTTGCAGCTGGATGAGCCGGCAGAATTGAACCTCCTCGCAAGTGTCGGCAACACCTACTCCCTCCAGCGGTTGCAAAAGGCAGCTATCATCCGGGATCGTGGACATCGCAAACCATGGGAAGGCGGAAAAGGGCGACGGGCACATGTGGCGAACGTCACCGACCACGACCAGGAGCCCGACAGCGACCACATCGAGTCGGACGACGAGAGCATGCCGGAAGAGGTCGCATCTGCCTATGTCACCTACCAGAATGCGAAGCAGAAGTATAAAGAGCAGGCCAAAGCAAGAGGATTCCATGGCACGGCGGACGAGAGAGATGGCAGTAAGCAGGGCAAAGGAAGAGACAGTGACAAAGAAGAGAGGATTCGGGTCATGAAAGCTAAAAGCTTCTGCTCGGGATGCGGAAGGAAGGGGCACTGGCACCGAGATGCAGAGTGTCCGAAGAATAGAAATGGCCTGGGCACCAAAGAGGGCATCCGCGATGTGGGAGTATGCCACCATGTCCCTTCCGAGGTCTTCGCCCTTCGTCACCACGGGTCTACCTTGCTCGGAATCACAGACACGGCTTGCGCAAAGTCGGTGGCAGGAACAAGTTGGCTGCAGCAGTTCACCGACAACTCGTCCGAGAAGCCTAAGATCACCAAGGAGTGCGAGGCCTTCAGGTTCGGTACCGGCAAGATCCACTACTCCGCCTTCGCAGTCGACCTCAAGTTCGTTATGGGCGGATGCATCCTGAGCCTCAAGACATCCATCATAAATGGGGATGTCCCACTCCTCATCTCCAAGCCGGCCCTGGCTCAGCTGGGCATGGTGTACGATGTGGCGGCCAATCGAGCCCAGTTCACTCGCTTGGGGATCCAGGACTTTTGCCTGGAGACAACGTCTTCGGGGCATCCTGCTATCCCGATTGTGCCGGCAAAGGCCGGAGATCACGGGCAAGAGGTCCAACTCAATGACTTCGGATCTCAGCGAGGAGAGCAATACATGGCATATGTTGTGAGCGATACAGGAGACACCCCACAAGACCCACCTCCAGTTGACTCCTTCCACATCTTTTATGACAAGAAGTTAGAGCCCGAAGTCAAGAACATCCTCACTCAAGACCGACTATGTGACCTAACCTTCACATCATGGTGGAGTAGATCCGCGCTAACCTCAGACTTCTGGATTGAAACAGATGTTGCTTGGTTCAGGATACATGTGACCCCTAGGAGGGCCCTGTTCAACCCCAGCAAATGGAAGACGAACCACTCTGTGCAGAAGGACATGTTGCTTACGAGTTTGGGCGAATATCGAGTGACTGAGGGTGTTTGTTGTCGCACAAGCAAACCAGTTGAGAGCATCGCAGACCGTTGGCATTGCAAACATGCCAAGCGCAAAGCATTAGCCCCTGAGCCCCCTCCTGACATTCCACCGTCCGATGGCGACATGGGATCGCAGTCAGGACTCCAGCACCCAGCCGGCCATCAGCAAGATGTCGAAGACGGAACTCCTCAGCGAAGCGAGTCGGTTGGGGCTGGTGGTGCATCGCAGCTGGACCGCGGAGGAGATCAAAGCATGCATCATGGAATTCCGCATGGACAACGCCAAGGGAGATGCAGCGGCCTTCATGAAGTCCGTGACCAACCTCACCATGTCGCAACTCAAGGTGAAGGCGGATTCGCTCGGAGTCGTCTACACGGAGAAGATCACGAAAGGGAACCTCCTGAGGCTGCTGAGGGAGAGCGTGAACACCCCGGACAACGAGCTCATGAAGATCGGGAAGTTCAAGGGGTACGAGTTCCAGGAGATTCCGAATCAGTACTGCGAGTGGGCCTCCAAGGAAGTGAAGGCGAGTCAGAACCCGCATGTGGAGCTGGTGAGGTTGGCGAAATGGTGGGAGGCAAAGCAGACTGTCTCCTACACAGGAGCGACTCGGCTAGAGGAGAATTCGGTGGTGCCTTATCCGACGAGCTCATCAGCGGCAACTTCGAGTGCGGGCGACTGGTCCCTCCTCTTGGACGAAGAGAACAAGTCGAAGGCAACACCCAAGGTGTCCCCGAAGCGAAGAGTTACCCAACAAGAAGCGGACGGGATGCCGGTGGACCAGATCAGCAAGGAGCATCTGGAAGAAATTCACCTGCTGGAGGCGAAGCTTGCGGCGCTAAAGCAGAAAGCGGGGTACCCCGGGGAGAACAAGCAGATGTAACCGGATGTGAAAGGGAGAAGGACGGCAAGGCGGGCGACCCTTTTGGCAGTGAGCCCCGCAATGGAGCAGATGTGATGGAATGCTGCTGTGGCATTACCGGCACCAGGCCGGGCGAGGAGTTCTGCGAGGGCATCCCGGGGGAGAACTTCGTGAGTGGACGGCATGGACCTAACACGATCATGACCCTCGATCACTCTGCGGAAGTCACACGGAGCGACGAGGGTGAAGCAGCAGCACGGACAGCGTATGAAGAAGGAGATTTCTCTTTCCATCGATGCCTCAAAGTCCTGCAGCAAACGGACCTTGCCCAGGCAATAAACCGGCGGGGTACGATCCTCGGCACCAAGAACGGCAAGGTCGACTACAACCTCTTGGGGCTCTTCGTGCATGGTGGAGTGCATGGGGTCACAAACAACACGAAGAATCGACCCGCCTTGTCCAGGTACCTGAACTCCTTCGCCAAAAGGCATCTTCCTGAAGGAGCATCCTGGTCGTCAATCGCCATCTCCAGGAACTGCGCAATTGGCCTCCACCATGACTATAACAACCTCCGGGGGAGTGCGAATCACACCATCGTTCTTGGGGACGGTGTCGGGGGCGAGATCTGGATTGAGGACAAGGACATCGATGAGAAGTCAGCCCACGACCCCAGCGTTGAGTGGAAGAAGAACAGCAGTGGGCATTGGATCCCGGGTCGAAAACACATCGCACACGAGAAGTTCGTCACCTTTGACCCATTCCTGAAGCACAAGACCTGCGACTGCGAGGGAGAAAGATGGTGCATCGTGTTCCACACTGTGCGGTCTGTTGAGAAAGCCGGGACGGACACCCTGAAGTTCCTCAAGAACTGCAAGTTTCAGCTCCCCAAGAAGAACTCAGCGACGAAGCGACGACCAGAGTACCCTACTAGTGGATCGGCGCCCATGAAGAGCACTCGGAAGAACATCTTCAGTAACGCCGGGAAGCTCAGTGTCCTGATGGCCACCCTTATCTATGTCGCCAGGAGCTTCATGGCCGAGAGCATTCTACCACCAGCTGGGCGCATCCATTCCCCGGCGGTGATGTTCGAGATGGGCGGCACCTCGGCGACCGAGGAAGCAGTACTCTTAGGGAAAGATGTCTATGAACCCATGGAGTGGAGCTTCTTTGAGTCCGAGGATGGCAAGAAGGTCGCTCACGACATCGTCCATGGTGGCTATCCTAGGGAATTGAGGGTAAATCTCCCCGGTAGGAACAACAGCGACGACCTAGCCCTCATCGAGCTGATGCACTGTCAACTCGATAACGGGGACGTCGTTGTGCTATGTGGAGACGAAGATGATCCTCTATTCTCCGACAAGAGATACCTCGAGGGCTGCGAGATCCACGAACAACGCCTGAGCTCAGGAGGCGAAGGCGACCATGGCAAGAGAGTCCTCTACAAGAGCAAGAATAAGACAAAGGTCCAAGGAGAAGACAGAGTATACGGAGTTCAAGTCGTATCCCGGGAACAAGACGATAAACCTCGTGGCAGCAAAGATCTCGATGGTTCCGGAATAACGTTCCCGGACAACACACCCTCGATGATTTCTACTGCCCTTCGTCGCCTTCACCAAAACCTCGGGCATCCCAGAAAAGAAGACCTACTTCGACACCTTCGGTTGGCCGGATGTGAGTCAGAAGTGCTGAATCAGTGCTGAAGGCAGTCAGATCGATGAGATGTGAAGTTTGTGAGGCATCGGCGGCTCCCAAAGCGGCAAGGCCTAGTACCCTGCCACACATGTTCGACTTCGGCGACCTCCTGGGGATCGACATTTTCTATGCTCACGATTGCGAAGATCGCCGCCATGCCTTCTTGTCCATCGTGGATTACGGGACCTCTTTCCACATCGTCGGGAAGTTGGAGGGCCAGACTGGACCTCAGCTGGAGGCAATGTTCAACAATCTTTGGATTGTACCCTACGGCGCTCCCAAAGGTATCGTGGCAGATCTCGAAGGAGGGCTCCAGGCCGGATTAGGGCGACTATGTGAATGGCACAACATAGAACTGCGACCGGTGGCAGCTCAAGGACACTGGCAAGCTGGGATGGTCGAGAGGCAAGGAGCCTGGTGGAAAGCCATATGGGAGAAAACGGTGCACGAAATGAGCATCACGACCGACGAGGTAGAGTTCGTGGTCCCCATCATCAATGGCGCGAAGAACGACTTGAGGAGGAGGAATGGACACAGCCCTTCCCAATGGGTGTTCGGACGAGCGCCTCGACTACCCGAAGACCTACTTGATCCGGATGGTGGAGAAAGGGTGATGTGGGATCTCTCGAGCGAGGCAAGGTTTCAACGCCAGGCAGCCATCCGTGCCTCCGCACGGGTGGCCTTTCACAAAACGCAGCTTGACGACCGACTTCGCAGAGCTCTCCTCCAAAGGGCAAGGACAACGGCAAGACCGCTGGAGGTTGGAGAAAGCGTTCACTTCTGGCACAAGCGGAAAGACCGCAAGCGAGGTGGATGGGTAGGACCCGGGGTCATTGTGGGCAAGCAGGGCGGCAACTACTGGATATCAAGAGAGGGCAGATGTAGGTTGACGGCACCAGAACACATTCGACCTGCTTCGCCAGAAGAAGTCGGGGAGTTCCTGATGATGAAAGGGGCTCAACGAGAAGTCGAAAGGCTTCTAGCCGAGGATCCCGACGACCCGAACGTCTTCGCATCACATGACGAACGCCTAGAAGAAGGGGACATCGATCTTGATGACTATGTGCACACCGACCCCGACGAGCCAGAGGACATAACTCTTGAGATGGACCAAGAAGAGCAGGAGTGGCCAGCACCAGAGCGCCGGCTGAAGCGAAAGACCACCGTTGCCGGACTACCACATGGGCCTCGACCTCGTGATGGAGCACTCGACGAAGCGAACCAAGCGATGATGCTTAAGACCGACCTCACCAGGAGAGGAGTGGAGAAAAGAAAAGAGAAGGAGCTGAAGTGGAATGAGATCCCGGAGGACAAGAGAATGCAGTTCCGCGAAGCTGAGAAGAAACAATGGTTGGAACATCTAGAATACGATGCTCTCGAACCACTCACGAAGGAGCAGACGAAAGCTGTGCTGGACCGGATCGACCACAGCAGGGTGTTGAGGTGCAGGTGGGCTTACAAAGACAAGAATTGGGCGAAAAGGATTCAAGAGACCGAGGACAGCGAGGGCAAAACCAACACTCCGTGGAAGCCAAAGGCACGGCTGGTGATAGCCGGGCACACCGACCCAGACCTCGGAGTGGAACAGCTCTCCACGGATGCTCCCACTTTATCGAGAGCGGGACTCACCTGTATCCTGCAGAAGACGGCCAACAAGCTGACAGCAGAGGACAAGTGGGGACTGGCTGCTGGGGACATCCGCTGCGCTTTTCTCACTGGAAGCTACCTCACCAGGGAGCTCTACTTGCACCAACCGTCGACTGGTTTTCCCAACATGAGTCCGGGCGAAGCGGTGAGAGTGAAGAAGAATGTGTTCGGCCTCGCAACTAGCCCACATGAATGGTGGGGGGACCTACAAGAAGGGGTGTTGGGCATCATCATCAACGACATCGATGCCCACCATCGCGGAGCATACAGATTTGCGCAATGCCCCTTAGACCCATGTGTCTTCATGCTCCGAGAATGGCGACAGGAGACCGGATTCCATGGAACACCTCTCGCCTACCTTGGGTGTCACGTTGACGACCTTCTCATCGCCGCTCCCCAAAGCCTGATGAAGCTTATCCAAACAAAGCTCTCTGAGACCTTCCCGGTCGAGGACTGGCAGGATGACAACTTCGAGTTCCTGGGATCACAGATCGCGGTTCTCGACGATGAGATTTCCATGGGGCAGGAGAAGTACACAGCCACGAGGCTCTTCAGCCTCGATATACCACCAGGGCTTCCCGAGGACGAAGCAGCACCGAAGGAGTTGATCGCAGACAACAGGAGTCTGGTGGGGGCATTGTCGTGGCTGTCAGCCCAATCCCGACCAGACCTTACATGCTCCGTGAGCATGGCGCAGCAACTGCAAAAGCAGCCTACAATCTCCGACTTGAAGTTCACGAACAGCATAGGGAACCGGGCAAGGCAGTTCAAGCACGAGGGATTGCACTTTCGCCCCATACCCGAAGAAAGGCTCATGTTCATTGTCTACCACGACGCCGCCTGGGCCAACGTTCCGGAAGACGATGACGGTGAAGAGCACTACAAGCTTTCTCCATCCGACGACGAGCGAGGTCTACAGAAGGAAGGACCTTTCGTCGGCAAGGCCGAAGGAAGAAGGGCTAAGCGAGGAAACTCCAAAGTGGCCTCGCAGCTGGGATGCCTGGTGGTGTTTGCAGATCGAGGGGCACTATCCGGCGAACCCGGCAACTTCAACATCGGCGACTGGCGTTCTCGAGCGGGACAGAGAGTTTGCAGGAGCACTTTCGGAGCTGAAACTCAAGCATGTGTGGAGGGCCTGGAAACCGCCGAGTACATGCGATCTCTCTACGAGACGATTTGTGAAGGAGAGCTCAAGACCGTCGCAGAGTCCGTCCTCCCCATCCTCTGCCTCTCCGACTGCCGGTCACTCTACGACCACCTTACCAAACAAGGAGTCCCTCGAGTACCCAGTGACAAGCGGCTAGCAGTAGATTTGGCTTCTCTTAGGCAAACCTCAGACAAGAAGTCTGGGGGAAAGGCCTACCGATAGCCTGGATACCCGGAGCTCTGCAGCTCAGCGACATCCTTACCAAACCCCAAAACCCCACTCTATGGTGGGAAAGGATGTCACAGAAGTTGATCGTCCCCATATCCCTTGCACAGAAAGGGGTGCTGATCAACAACAAAGGAGGTGGACCGGGAACCAGTGTGAAACTTGAAGTCATCATGCCAATTCCCAGTCGTGGCAAGCTGTTTCCGTATGAGTATGAACTCCATCATCCCGAGTCCACCCAAGCAAATAAGAGTTTCACCTGACGAGGCATCTACATCCCGAAGGCATCTGGCATCGAGCGACAAATGGGTCGCGAGCGAACATCAGGCCGGGTGGGTAGGGTAGGGCCCCCTAAGTACTTTGTGGTACCCGGCCTCATCTAGTTTGACATTTAGGGTTTAGGCGATCTCGAGGGCTTTGCAAACGTCGAAGAGAGCTCTTGGAAAAAGCTGCTTGGGCTTCCCGGTCCTACACCTCATCGCTCTCGATGAAGTCGGTGTCAGCTTGGGGACGACCTGATAGGACTGCTTGTGCGCACTTCCTTCCATCCTTCCTTCCATGCTTCCTTCCTCCCTCTCTCCCTCCCTCCCTTCCTCCCTCCCTCCCTTCCTGTGGCCCACCAAAGCAGGCCACCCCCCTTCCTCTCTCTCGCCCCCTCCCACCATCCCAGTTTCTGAGGGCCCCGCTTCCTGCTGGATTGCGCTTTGGCCTCGGCGTTGCGGGCTTCATGTACGTAAGCAGTGGCATGAAATGATTTCCATCCGGTTCTTCGAGCGGATCCCACCACCTAAAACTCAAGAAGGCCCAAAGACCTATCTTTCTGAGCTTGCACGTTGCCATGGTGGCCAGTCTCCCGCGTACTAAGCGAAACCGCATGGCGCGTACGCAGTGCTCCCGCTCTTCTGTCTCTGGCATCAAGCTTCAAAACTGGGACCTTCGCTGAGGGCATATATCTTCACTGTCTGAGTCATCTTCCTCGCCTCAAGGGCCAAGCAAGCTGCAAAGCTGCTACAACAGGCCACAAGCAAACTCTTTCTTGTTGAACTCCGGAAGGTCTCAGTGACGCACTGGAAGAATCTCCTGCACCTTGTCCTTGCGGCGGTCTTTGCGCCGTACTCTGAATGCCCAGTGCTGATGGCATGCCGCCTGCGTCGCTGCCGCATCATGGACTCGCAGCATGCACAGGCCAAGAGAGCGCTCGAGTCCACGCTGCCAGATTTCAAACAAGCTGCGCGCAGCATCATGCCCCCAAGCTTCATTCATCACAGCAAAGCGAGCACACCAGTCCAAATTTCCCTGCGACGTATCACAACGCGCCGGTGGGCAACACCCTGACAACTTACCGCAGCCAAAGGCCTACCAAAGCCTCGAATTTTGGGGGCATTCTACATGTGCATATCGGATCGCCATGATCATAGCGTCAATAGTCATAGACTTAGACTCGCTGTAACCAAGGCGGGCACCACTGTTTGACTCTTGGAACCTTGGCACCACGATTGGAACTCTTGCTAGGGCTTCGCATTGCCATCGGATCCCCCAAAAGGCAGAACTTGGAACAGCCCACATCTCAGCGCAGCGCGTTGGAGCTGTTCTTAGTAGTGGCTGAGGCCTGGTCCTGCTTCTCTCACTGGGAACCCAAGACTTTAAAAAAGGGACTTGAGAGTGCGGAGACCGCACGGGAACTTGCAGGACTCCTCATTGGCGGAGCAGAGCTGGGAGGTGGCCTCGCGCGTAAGGCGATATGATCTTGAAGACACATCCCAAAAAGGTTCTCCGACTGAGTCTGAGGTGCTGGCAGCGGTGGCTGCGAAGTCTTCCGTGGGAAAAGGCACTGAAACAAGCTCCGGGACCGCCTGGCATCCAGCCAGCCCAAGGTTCCGGAAAGGTCACACACATCGGTACAACCGATGCACCTTGCTTCGTCAAGCTCCATGTAAAGATCGTCTTGGCGATTGACTTCCTGCTGCACCTTGGGGTTCAAGGGTTTCTGGGTCTGGGGTGGCGCCAGCATGCGGCAGCGGGGGCCTCCTCGTGCAGGAAGTCCCTCTCCTGCTTTAGTTCAAGCGCCATGTGGTCCTGCACCGGGTTTGGAACACATGAGTTGCAGACAGCTTGTCAAAGTGGCAGCGAGCACGACATGAACTGCACCATAGCCTGCCGGCATTGCAGGATATCCTGCAGCCCGGGAAGTGGGAGTTTCATGAAGCTTTGTGTCGCGCCCCCTCCCTTGCTTTGAGTCACTTCGAATAAACCTGTTTGACATCCTTGCTTGCAGCCGTTGATGAGAACCAGGTTCAGGGCAAGCTTTCGAGGCTAAGCAGCACGAAGTGCGTGTTTGGCTTCCCGGTCTCTCTCATCTGTTCTGGCTTGGGGCTGCCATAAGCTCGGTTACCTCACAGGGACCCCCCTGATTTCTCGGGAAAGAGTAACAAATCCTAGGGGGGGGGGGCTTGTGGGCTTCTCCGACTCCCGTTCGGACCTCCTTGACGCCGTGAACTTGGGCCTGGATCTCTCGAGCTTGCCTGGCTGAAATCTTGGTAGGGTTTTTATTGGGGTTTAAACGGGGTTTATAGGGTTGTATAGGGTTTTATGGGGGTTGAGGGATTGGGGCTTGATGTTCTTTAGCAAAGCTCGTGGTTCATGGGATCTCCGCTTATCAGCTGGTGGATGTCCCTCCTGCATTCGGGCGTCTGCCCAACTCCGTGTTGCTGCGGCTGCTTGCGGGGCTGCCGTCTGTCGGTCGCACGGAGCTTCATTCTCCGGTGACGGAAGGTGTCTGGACTTGAACCGAAAAACATGGCACTTCCCTGGAACTCCGAATGGACCGGCGCTGCTACGACCATTCTGCAAGTAACGAAGAAGCTTAAAATGCCAGAGGCGATCGCCCCCCTAAACAGAACAGCCCGCAGCCTGGTCACCCTCTGAATCTCAGCATTCTTGACACTGGCAGCCTGCTCTGCCTCACATGTCCCAAGGGGCACGTCGCCATCGCAAAGGAGCTTCTAAGATGCAAAAGAGCTCTGAATCCCGCCTCCTCTGCCTCCTCATGCAGAAGGGACCACTCACACCTTCCCCACTTCTTCGAAGTGTCAATCCAGGCAAGAGGTGCTGCTGTGGAGATGCGGTAAATTCTGAACTAGGAGTCAGAAAGCAAGCCGGATCTGTCGCAGACAAGCATGGGTGTCCGAACTCATGCCGGGCAGTCCCTGCAGCACCCAGCGCCACTGCGCAGCGCTGCTGGCTTTCTTCAGCTGCTTGCATCTCCTCTGGGAGCCCATTGTGGGCAGCCACTTAGTAGCTAAACCCCCCTCTCCATTTGAGAGAACTCTTCCCACAAACAGAGAAAAAAAAAGAGGATGGCCTCCTCGAGCTCCTCCATTCGGTCTCGGAGAGCTGCGGCCTCGCGCTCGCAAAGCACTGCCTGAGGAGTCGAAAGGAAGCGGGGGGAGTGCACTGTAAGAATCCTCTCAGGACGCTCTCAGGACGCTCTCAGACCTCCCAAGGCCGGTCTGCACTATTGCTTCGGCCTCAGCGTTTAAGTGCTGCTGCAACCTCTGGGCATCCCGGACACCTGGGCTGAGGCTGCGGAAATATCATGCGCGGGCGTCGTTCAGGATTGCTGTTCTAGCACCCTGTGCTGAGGTGGAGGGTCTCCCGCGGTTAGCGCTGCACACGCCACCTAAACTCGCTCTTTGCCACCTCTCTGCTCGCTCTTGCTGAGCGAGTTTGTTGGGTCCGTTTCAGCGAGCACTTTTGGCCGAGTCTCGCCTTAAAGCATGACAAAACAACAGAAAATGACAATGCATTAACCTTTCGGAAAGAAAGCCCAGGTTGGAGGGGTAAAGGGCTCTGGGGAGTAAAGATGGGCTGCATGGGCTGCTCGCGTCTGCGAAGTTTGACCGCGCCGCGCAAGTCTGCAGCAGGACCCTTCTTCGTCAACTTCCCCCACTTCCGGCGCAACTCCGTGGAAAACAGGGAAGAAAAAGGGGGGTCGGCACGAGAGCAGACGAAGAGCACTCTAAAGTTCCGCCCGACCAGAACTGATAGATGCCTTTTTCTCTGGAATGCCCAGGTCTCAGCAAAGCGAAAGCTGAGGGTCCTGGCTCTGTACTTCTGTGCCAGGGGAGTGGGTCATCGCCTGGTATCTTGAAGCACGAGATTCTGCCAAAAGGGTACCTGGAGGTAGTTAGGATTCACGGCCTTGTTCTTCTCCCAGGCGACGAGCTCTCGCTCACCAGCCACCTGCAACGAAACTTCAACCGCTTCCCTAAACCCTAACACCCGAAACCCTAAACCCTAGAACCCTAAACACCAAACGGCAAAACCCTCAACCCCCAAACACACCAGGACGGTGCCTCAAGCTCTGCGCGGCCGTCCCGCTCGGCGTCCAGGTGCTCCCGCAGGTCGGTCTCAAGCGCAGTATCCCAACAGCAAAGGGTTTCGGGCCCTTCAGGGTTTAGGGTTTAGGGGCTGAATTAGGGGTTTAGGGTTTCGGGTTTAGGGTCTTAGGGTTTAGGGGTTTAGGGTTTAGGGTTCGGTTAGGGCTATAGGCGGTATAGGGTTAGTGTAGGTGGCGGTGGAAAATGGCCCCCCCAGCCTGCACCCGGACTGCAGCCTGCAGCTGCGCCTGCAACAATTCTGGTCACTGTAGGGGGCCTGGGGTTGAGGGGAGGCTTGCCCCTTTAGTGGCTTTAGGGTTTAGGGTTTAGGGTTTAGGGTTTAGGGTAGAAGGGGAAAGGGTTTAGGGATAGTGAGGCCCAGGGCATGTGCCGCTTGCCTGCAAAGAATCACGCACTGCGAGCATGGAGGCCAGCTGCTGCTCGTAGGCCTGGGGCGCAGCATGCCAGGCCCTCTCGTGAAGACTGCCCCCCTTTCTTGCGCTTACCCAACTTTACCCTGGGGTCTCCTCCACTCTGGAAGCTGCTTCAGCCTCTTCGTGCACCATGGCAGCCTCAGGCATGTGCTTTGTGGGGTTCTTATGGAACCTGGAACGGCGTGGAGGAGATGTCTGCACAGGAAAGGGGGTAAGCCCAAACTGCACCCCCCGGCCTGCAATCGATGACGCTGAGACTCCTCTCTAGAGAAAAGAAGAGGCAGAGAAACAGAGAGGCACAGAGGAAGAGCCACACAGAGACAGCGAGGCAATGTAGGGATGGCCTAATAAAAATCACTAGGGGGCCAAACCCTGAACCCCAAGAAAAGAACCAACATGCACTAAAATGCCCTAGAGAACACCCCAACATCACCTCACAACTTCCCCAGTGTCCTAAAATACCCCAAGCCCGAAAATGCCCTTTTTAACCCTGAGCCCTAACCCCCGATGCCTACACCCAAAACCCCTAGAGCCTAAACCCTAAACCCTACACCCTAAGCCCTAAACCCTAAACCCTTAGAGCCTAAACCCTAAAACCCACACCCTACACCTAAGCTCTAAGCCCTGAAGCCTAAACCCTAAACCCCTAGAGCCTAAACCCTAAACCCTGCACCCTAAGCCCTAAACCCTAAACCCCTAGAGCCTTAACCCTAAACCCCTAAACCCCTAAACCCCTAAACCCCTAAACCCCTAAACCCCTAAACCCCTAAACCCCTAAACCCCTAAACCCCTAAACCCCTAAAAAACCCCTAAACCCCTAAACCCTTAAACCCCTAAACCCCTAAACCCCTAAACCCCTAAACCCCTAAACCCTTTAACCCCTAAACCCCGAAACCCCTAAGCCCTAAGCCCCTAAACCCCTAAACCCCTAAGCCCTAAACCCTAAACCCTAAACCCTAAACCCCTAAGCCCTAAACCCTAAACCCTAAACCCTTAAGAGGTCTCAAAAGCGGGAGTTCTTTAGATCTCGGGCTCCTCGGAGAGCTCAGCTCCCAGGGCGGCACCTGCGACCCAAGCCCGCCATACGCCCAGACCCGGATACTTTAGGGTTTAGGGGTTTAGGGTTTAGGGTTTAGGGTTTAGGGTTTAGGGTTCAGGGTTTAGGGTTTAGGGTTTAGGGTTTAGGGTTCAGGGTTCAGGGTTCAGGGTTTAGGGCTTAGGGTTCAGGGTTCAGGGTTTAGGGCTTAGGGTTTAGGGTTCAGGGGTTTAGGGTTTAGGGTTTAGGGGGTTTAGGGGGTTTAGGGGGTTTAGGGGGTTTAGGGGATTTAGGGGTTTAGGGGTTTAGGGGTTTAGGGGTTTAGGGGTTTAGGGGTTTAGGGGTTTAGGGGTTTAGGGGTTTAGGGGTTTAGGGGTTTCGGGGTTTAGGGGTTTCGGGGTTTCGGGGTTTCGGGGAGGTTTATAGGGTTCATAGGGTTTATAGGGTTCATGGGGTTTATCGGGTTTGTAGGGTTTATGGAGTTTTGAGGGTTCATGGGGTTTTAAGGATTTATAGGGTTTAGGGGTTAGGGAGTAGGGCTTGCGGGAATGTTTAAACAAGAGGTGGTGCACCAGGGTCTCTGGGAAGTACCCTAAACCTCAAAACCCATAAGCCCTAAACCTAAACCCTAAACCGTACACCCTAAACCTAACCCCAAACCCTAAACGGCCCTAAACTCTAAACCCTATAAACCCGAAACCCCTAAGCCCCTAAACCCCTAAACCCCCTAAACCCCTAAGCCCCGGTTTCTGGGCCCCCGGCGCTCGGCCGCAGCATCCTGGAGCTCGGCGGCGATGGCGCTGCGGGCGTCCGCCAGGCGCTGCGTCAGCAGCCCCACCGTTTGGCCCTGCAGCAGATTGGGGTTCCTAAGGGTTTTGGGCTTAAGGGTTAAGGGTTTGGGGCTTTAGAGGTTTAAGGGCTTGAGGGTTTAAGGGTTGAAGGGTGTAGGGCTAAAAGGTTTAACCAGAGGGTCTTGGGCTTCAGGGCTTAGGGTTAGATGGCCCCAGATGTGCAGCCAGGGCCTGCTCATGGCAGCGATCGCGGAGCTCGCGCATCTCGCTGGAAAGCTCCGTCTGAAGGCCAGGCTTCGAAATCCGACGCGTCACATGTGAGGGTTTGCCAAAATCATCCAAAATGTGGGACCCCCAGTATAGCCCCCAAATATTAAGGCTCCCTTATAAAAAGGACCACAAGGAGGCACCCCTAAGATCGCAAACCCCCACATGTCGCCACACTGTAGACTGTGGCCGCCTCAGTATGCCTCAGTATGCCTCAGTATGCCTCAGTATGCCGCAGTATGCCGAGGGTCCGTGCCTGCAGCTCCTCTGCGGCTTGTCGTTCATAGTGAAGCTCGTTCATCAGGTCCTCTACAAGTAGCACTGAAAAGTTGTGCTGATGGCTTGTGTCGGACAAGCGCAGCTTCGACCTCCTCTTCGCATCTCAGACGCATTCTCCGATTGGCACCAACCTCAGGCGAGGTTTTATGCATGGACTCCGACACCTGGATCAAGCTATCCCTACGGCATCTCGGATGTGAGCACCTCAGCCTACACAGCTTCATCTTGCCCAGCAGAGCCCCTTCTATCTCACCACCTGCGACCAACAAGTAGTGCCTCCCATCTGCTGCTTCAGCAGTTCAGATGCCCGCTTCTTCGCAGCCTGAAGGTCGCCGGTCTCCCTCCAGGTCGTGTAGTCGGCCATGCGGTCCAAGATCTTCGCATCGGTCTGGTCTTGGTGCATCTTTCGGGTGCCTTTTCCGCCTTGGAAGTACCAGTCGAAGCTTGGAACCTCCCAGTCAGGAGAGATGAGGTCCTTGCGGAGGAAGCACAAGTCCAGAATGTCCACGCGGCCGATCAGCTTATAGCCGTGCTCCTCGGCCAACATGTTCAGGGCATATGCCGAGGCGCCCCAGGAGCACCCCGAAAACTTAAACTCAAAGCCTTTCGGAACTTCACCTGTGGGCAGCGTTGGATCAAGCATGGTGATCGCGATCGGCTTGCCGCCGTAGTTTGCATTGTACTCCGCTGTGAACAAAGCAGGACGGTACCCTCCATTGAGGATGGACTTTAAAACGAAAAAATCGTGTGAGTCCATGTCCACAGACAAGTAGCCCAGGTCTTTTGGCACTTTGTACTTCTTGAAAAGGTCCACGATATTGTTTTGGAAGAGGAAGTGCTTGTGGAGGTTGATGGACGCATTCTCGTGATTCCCATCGAGCAGTAGCCCAGTCCAACCCTGATCACGTAAAGCCCCTGTGTTTGGCCCACACTGTGCCTGCTGCTCAAAGCTGGCCGCGTCGTAGCCAAACTCCACGTAGTACTTGCTGCTGACGCCGATGTGTTGGAAAATCTCCCTGATGAAGAGGTCCTGTATGCCTTGAGATCGCATCCACGGCTCTCGTGTCGTCACGGGGAAGCTCATCATGCGTGGGATCCATTGGTCCAGCGTGCTTGTCGCAGAGAGACTTGCAGCTGGCTGGTTCACTTGAATCAAGCAGGATGCATCCTTTGCTGCATCGACCACTAGGCACAGCAAACTCAGCAAATTCAAAGCCTGCAGCCACCACGCACACCATACCCTTCCAGCGCCTGACATGGCTGCACCGGATTTTCTGCACTAATGTGATCCAGGTTAAGGCTGTCAAGGCGGATAAGATGCATTGCCATGCATTGGTGTAGTTTTTCAGGTGGCCACAACCTCCACAGGCCCAGCTTCCTAGAAAGTCTCTCGGGATTTGTTGTGGGATCCTGGGGCCGGATACATGTCCTGAAACCTTCGCAAGATTGAAGGAGGACTTCTCTTGACCTTCTCTGAGCCGCTAAGTGCTGAAGCACTGTCATGATTCTCTTCGGGACCTCCCAAGAGACCCCTCCCAGGGCTTGCCAGAGACCGGAAGGAGCTGAAACAGTTTCTGGGATCCTCCAGTCCTAGAGGAAATTCTCTGAATTCATCTAGAACATACGGCCTGATCTAAGACCCTATACTTTTGACGGCAGCGACAAACAAGCCCATTCCTCCTATTGAAATCAGACAGGCGCGAAGGAGCAATGCTCGAGGCCTTAAGCCCCTTCTTGCGCGTCAGCGCCATAAGTTAGGGACCTTCACGGCGGCGGCCAAGGCCCCGTTGCTCATCCACTGTGCGGTCTTCAAACCGCGAGCCTTGGGTTGAGAGCACAGGGTTTTCAGGGTCTGTAGGGCCTAGGGTTTATAGGGTCTGCATAGGGCTTAGGATTTAGAACACCAAGATCGACCTCGCAGGGTTGAAAGCTGGGATCCTGTCCATGGCATCGAACCGATGTTGCCGCACCTCAGTGTTCAATTTGGTATCATCCATCAAATGATATAGCCTCCGTTTATCTAGTCTATCTTGTGTCTTACATTCTGTAAAAATACCAAGCATGAAACAATAAGTGGGGTTCTCTCTTCAGAGAGTTTGGTCACGCGAGTCTAGGCATGCTGTCGGAGTGTGAGCAAACAGGCTCCGGAGTTCCAGCAACTTCCCCAACCAATCCTTCGCAGCCGCCATGAAACCAATTTGGCTCCCGGCACACTTGCTTGAGCCGGAATCGACCTCGAGAGCAGTCGAATGAGATGCAGGATGCACGACAGAACCACATCTCAGCCACGACCTGTTGAAAAAAGTGGAGCGTTAAGGAGCAGAGCGTGCTGAAGTCTTGCCAACACACTTGCCCCACAAACCGGCTTAACACCTACAGTCCGCACGCTTTGGTTGATCTCCTGATTGGAAAAGACATGCAGCATCCTGCAAATTGAGACAACATGAGCTTTTCGCGAGACGCCTTCTTGGGGTAAGAGACTTAGCATCATGCGCAAAGTCAGCCTCCCAAGAGCCAGGGCCACTTGAGGCTCCAGCGTCGCGTCGGCTGAGCATCCCCTGCGCCCCCAGGTGACTTAAAGGGATCAAAGAGATCATTTGGGGTGGGGTGTCGGGGAGGGTGGGTGTGGAGGGGGCTCTCGAAAGTAGGTCCCGCATGGGCAACCTGTTTCACTGGGAAACTTGGTCAGGAGAGCGGCCTCGAAGCACTCATCCCACTGCCTTTCCAACTCTGACCCCTCAGGGTCACACCTCAGCATTCTCATCAATGGGTTTAGGGTTTAAGGTTTAGGGTTTAGGGTTAGGGCTCTTGTGACATGAGTTCTAAACTCGGCGCGAGATCTCAAGGGTCCGGCTGTTCGCCAACTGTGATCCAGTGCGGCACTGCTTCCAGGGCCTCTGTCAGAGCTGCGCAAAAAAGAAAGGCAAAGGCTTTGCGAGCCTGTCCTTTGAATCCACATCATGGTGCAGCTTGCCATGTTTCAAGTGCTTGTAACGAGGGATCACTCGGGATCACTGTCAGGCCCATGCTGGAGAGGACTTCATCCAACCTTGGTGTACGGCCACTGAACATGCCGTACGAAGATCGGGGAGCTTGGACTAGTACCGAGAACTCGGCCTTGAGGAGGTGATCGTGTCTTCAACCCGAGCCGGCGCAGAAGAGGCACTCATGTACGCATGGGAACATATTCGGACAGTGTACTCTCACATCAGCATACACCCGTTGCTTGTGCTGGAGTGTGCTTAGGGAAAAGCTTGGTGTGCGGACGGGGGGGGGAGGGCTGGTAAATCGCGAGCCCTGTGACAGTACGTGACTCTGTTCCTTTAAACCATTGCATGGAGATCATGAGAGCCGAACATCAAGGAGATGCTAGCCACTCGGATCTGGGTCTTCAAGGGCATTAAGATGGGATTTCCGCGATCTTTTATGCGCCATCTTCCAGTCTCGAAAGTGGCACAAGTGCCCGTAGCACGGTGGTTGTGGAAAGCTTGCTATGCAAGGCAACAAACTTAAAATTGGGCACGATGCGTCATACCCGCATCTTCACTGAGCTGTTTAACAGCAGTGGAAACATTATCGCTGCCGCGCTGGGCGCGTGTATTTCACACCCAGCTGGCGCAAAACCTGGACGACTCTGACAAATTAGCAAAGTAACACAACCCTAAACCCTAAACCGCCCAAAAAACACGAAGCAACACAATAAACAAACACAACCTAAGCAGCATGAACAACCCACAAACGCCCCCCTAGGCAGCATCGAAAAGCCGGCCCCCTCATCTCCAAGACTTTTGTTGTGAGACTTTCCGGTGTCGGCTCTCCCTGGCCTTAGGGCGCCCTGGAGCCTTCAAAAGACAGGGGGCTGAGGGTTTAGGGTTGAGGGTTTCGGGTTTAGGGTTTAGGGTTCAGGGTTTAGGGTGTAGGGCGTAGGGAGGCGTAGGGTGTAGGTTTAGGGTTTAGGGACTAGGGACTCAAAGAGCACAAAGGGGGGGGGGGGGCCGACTCTGAGCACTCAATGGGGCACAGCCCGCACACCGCACACGGCAGCGGGGCCTCCGGTGCGGGCTCCGCGTCCTTGGCCTCCTTGGACTCCTCCCTGGACTCCTTGGCATCCTTGGGCTCCTTCTCTTTGGCCTCCTTGACCTCCTTCTCCTTGGCCTGGGCCAGGTGCTGAGAAAAGGGAGGGCTGGGTTAGAAAAGGGTCAGAGTGTACTTCCTTACAGTATTACAGCCACCCCCCCCCCCTAGTGTGCCCACCCCACCGACCCTGCCCAGGCGAATTCCGAAAGAGCGGGCCCCAGGTTTGGCTGAGAAAACCTCCCTGAAAAGCTTCTGGACGCCCAGAGTCACAGGGACCTCAAGGAATTCAGACAAGAGTGTCCCGTAAAGCGCGGGAGGACCCCTCAAGGCCCGACATGGCTCTATATTCATTTAAGACATCTTGAGGCATCCCTCAACCACGGCCCTCCATTTGCATTCAGACTGACCCGGAATGCGAAGGCCTTCGGCTCTTCACTGGCTGCACGCTCAGCCTTTGCTGGTTTTCCTCAGCAAAGCTCAGTTCTACACCAGGCGGAAGTTGAAAAGGAGCGTATGCGTAGACACTTTCTGGGTCTCAGGCGGGCTCCCTTGCCTTCTCCCTTGCCTTCTCCTAGGCGCATGGACGATAATTGCCAGTACACCGAAACGTGCAAGACGCTGCAAGACCAGTTTGAGGCCCGGGTCAGGCGAAAGCATATTTTCGAAACACAGACTGTCTCAAACCAAACAACCTTGCGTTCCGTTTCGGCTCCCGCCTGTAGCCCTTCCCGCTCATGGGTGATTCATCGCATTGCTTGTGGTCCGTTGTTTTGGGGTTGCCATGCTTCATCCCTGGCCAAAAACATCTTCGCCGCAGTTGCCGGCACCTCCACCAATTGGCCCTGCTTGTCCATCTTGTTTTGATCCGAAGAGCCAGCCCCGAATGTCTGGCTTTAGGGGCGTTTCAAATTTAGCGTGTTGGGGCTTCTTGGCGTTTGGGTTTAGACCTGAGGGTTGGTTGGGCTACTGAAACTTTCAGGTTCTCACATATACAGGTGTAATGCATCGTATGCCTGCCTGCTGGTGTCTCCACAACAAAGTCTTCTGTGCGAACATTCTTCTTGTTGCAAGCGTTAAAGTTAAGAAACCAAGCGACCCAGAAAGAAAACCTCAGTGAGCTTACGCAAACCATGATGTTAAGTTCCTCACAACCGTAACCCGGCAACTTCTGAGGTTGGGACCCGGACCCCGTTTAGAAGCTGGCTGCCTCAGGGCATTGAAATGCACCCCAAGCCCTGAGCCCCCCTGAGCCCCCCTAAGAGTCACTGGAGGCCTTGCCCAGTTTGGGTAATTGCACCACCGTGGCCCAAATCATAGCCAGAATATCCTAAAAACACTTTACCGTATAGAAAGTAAGGTGCAATGATCTAAAATGGACAAGGTAAGGGGGTCGCCCAGTTTGGGTAATTACATCATCGTCAACCAACTAGTGCTCAGTAATCCCTAAAACACATTACCATATAGAAAATCATCCTACTTATCAGGTGATGTAACATCCCGAAACGGGCAAGGTTAGGTTTATTCATTTTATGGGGAATAGTATGGGGTGTTGGGGTTTCAATAATTATTTAATTGTATTATTAAATTATAATTGGTAGGCTATTTTATATAAAATTTGTACATATCATCTCTCCTAGAAACCGTGTTGCTTCTTCTGAATATAGAAGTTCAAAAGATATATTATCGTCGGCGCCGTCTTTTAACTGATGTATTATTACAATAAAAAACTTACATACTCTTTGATAAGAATTCAAATAACCACATAAAATATCTTTGAAATAATTCTTTTTCTCTTGATGCCATTTATAGAAATCAAATTTATCTAGGTTTTCATACATTGTTTTCATTTCAATATGTAACTCAAGCGTATATTCATCCTTATCCACATAATCTCGTATTATTTTATGAACTTCATCATATTCTGGGTATTTACATAATTTAGTAAAAAGGAATGATGTAATCATCAAATAGGTTCCTTAACTTACAACATTTGTCACAGCCATTGTAGTCTGTAATCATATGTGATAAATCATGTAAGGCATCGCATTTACCTAGTAAGATTTGTTGCCTGTTCTTAACTTGTCTACATGAAGAACAGTTTTTGAAATAATTGGACTTCTTTAGTTCATAATAAAATCTTCAGTTTCATCATCAGATGAACTTTCATACTCACTCTCACTT